TTTGTGCAGAGCTTGTCATCTCAAAGAGAAGATGTTCAGTACGAGAATTTTTGTATATTGAGGAGAAGTGTCAGTTTCAGAGGGGATCACAAAGAAGAGTTTTGCCATGTTAAAATGTTAATCTGTTCCTAACATTTTCGCAGGGTTTGGTTAATGTGATTATGGCGATGCCTCGAGGGCTATCTGCCTAAGAAGAGGGATGCCTTTGTGGAGGACTTTCTAAGGAAAACTTGTTTGTATACACGTTACACATGGGAAAAACCATGAAAACGTCCATGCAGCCAGCCTGTTCGCTGGATTCAAACCTCAGACCGAACAACCAGTGTTCAGCGACTTTACTGCTCGCCGCTGGTGGACACCTTTTCTGCAGGGAAGGAAGTGTTTTCTAAGTGTAGGACATAACATATCAGTCTAAATGGTCCACATTAAGATTTGATCTAGGAAATGTATAATGTTGAAGCTGAAATTAAAATCATATAAATTTGAATGCCATGCATGTAATGTGAATCTCAAACTTTTCCTGCGATGTGATTTTTTTCATGTAAAGATCAGGCTCTGGTAAATAAATGTATGTTTTCTTCACATATTATGAATATTCATTCCTGATTTAAGGGAACATGAAGTTATACAATTTCAAATCCACTAGAAAAATGTATGATAGTCACAAGTTTGACAAAAGATTCTTTGCTCAAATGATAAAAGGCTTTGGGGCTTTGGAGAACATAGATGCTAATTAGAAATGTGTGCTAAATACGAGGCCATTGCCATCCACATAAATGCACTGCACTAATTTTAATACTGTTTAGGTTCTTATGCATTATCCCTTTGACCGGCCAAGTAGCATGATTTAGTGCCAATTATGGATGACTGTGCCTTTAGTAATTCCATAGCAATGATTGGTGCTTGGTTACCATAGCCCAAATTTCCACAAACGATTGGTGAGATAATACATAAGTATCCTATTTTATATTGACATGAACGAAAACTAAATTTTTTATCATATACCTTTCTACTAAAATTTGTTTTGGTCCTTGGTTTAGTTTGGTTTATTTAATTATGCAAACCACTTGCGTGCTATCTGCTTAAAAGGAGGGATGCTTTCGTGGAGGACTTTCAAAGGGAAACTGGCTCTTATACACATTACACCTGAGGAAAACCATGAAAGCGCCCATGCAGCTAGCGTATTTTGCAGGATTTGAAACCCGGACTGAATTGCTAGTGTTCAGCGACTTTACCACTCGGGTGCTGGTGGTCTGGCCATCGGTGCTATTAAACTGAAATTCATCTATATTTATAAAGGGCCCATCAGAAAAATGCACACACTTTAATTAATAAAATAAAATTCTTGTGCTTTAGTATTGAACTGAATTATAGTTTAATTAAATCATACATATCAAAGGTTAGTGTAAGTTTCATATAATATTCCTGAATATGTACCTATACAGTTACTTAGATTGCTCAAAGTGTTACAGTGGTCATTAACAGCTAGACACATAGCACAATACTGAGCAGTTATTTGAACTATGTTTAGTCGATGTGTCTGAGGGGACTTCATAATTTTTTGATGAAGGACCTGTAGCGATTTACTATACTACACAACATCCCTCCAAATTCATTTTGGTTCACTGTCATGTGTCACATATATGTGAGAGTACCAACATGTTAAGGAAATATCATACTACATATTATAAAGATAATTCAACTTTGAAACCAATATATAGATAAAATCTGTTAAAGTCTGTATGTATTTTTCTGGCATATCCTGTATGTGAAGTTGTACTTTTCATTAGTCCCACCTTTTAATTAACGTAGAGGTATTACTGTACAGAATATATATGAAACTGAACTGATAAATTTTCATATCTGTCTCTTTCATTTGTTTGCTTTTCATATATTTTTTAATAGTTTTATTTTTGATGTTGCTTTACATGACGTCGATTTAAACATAAGAAAGCAGAGAAACAAAAGAAATTCACACTGAAACTAAATTTAAAATTAGTAGTCTGACGATTACTAATGTAAAATAAATAGTGGCTAATTTATTATCAAAATTACATAAGAAGGCAAATGAATAATTAGCATATTCAGATTTTAATTACAAGTAAAAATTTTATATTCCTAACAGTAAAAATGCACATATTACAATGTTATTCATTTATTACTCACAACCAACTCAGCAGAACTCGTCAAATTTTTAAAATGTGCCAAACTCTGGCAACCATGCTCATAACAATACTTTAATAGGGCATTGTCGCCGTTTTTGTATACATTATTTGTGTTGTATTCCAAGTTTCAATTTTTATGAACAAGTTGTGATATTTCTTGCCTTAATTTTAAAATATGCGCTTTGGAATTTTCCAACAATGAAAAAAACTAGGAACAATGGAAAATTCTAGAGGAATACAAAATTTTGCCAACAAATTTTTAAAAGGAACAAAAAGGAAATACATTTGATAGATACCCAACGCTGCTGAGGTTTGTGCGATGCCGAGTCTCTGAAATTCTTTAATGTTTTTTCGAGCAAAAATAAATCGCTCATGGAAAAGAATAGGGCAAAAAAATTACAGAAAGATCTGGAGATGAACGTGTTTTAATTTTAATGTATTATGTAATCCTTATTTAATAATTAAAATTTATATTTCAAATTGCTAAAATATGTTTTCTTTTCATAATTTGATAATGTTAGCCAACTTACGATAAATATCAATAATTTGGGTATATGTTTAAGAAAAGTTATGAAAACCATCAACTTGCACCCAATAAGTGACTTTTACCTTTTCATGTGTTAAATCCAAATTGAGCCAAGGTGGTTGTGTTAATATGTACCATTAATTTTACAGGCAGTATATTGTATTCTTTTATATACTGCAAATATTTAAATTTGTACTGAAATTATGTAGTGACAATAATTTTACTTAAGATCAGAAATTTTTCAATATTACAAGTTTACATTTTGGATTAATTTTTTATGTGATATGTTAAAAGCAGCACGTTAAAAACATTTAAAACGAATATTTTGAAGTTCTTAAGTTTTGTAATAGTACTAAGTATTATATTTTAAATTACTCGTGAACACTGGTAGTTCGGTCCGAGGTTCGAATCTCGCGAACGGGATGGCTGCATGGGCGTTTTCGTGGTTTTCCCCATGTGTAACGTGTATACAAGCCAGTTTTCTCTAGAAAGTCCTCCACGAAGGCATCCCTCCCCTTAGGCAGATAGCCCTAGTGTGCTTTGCCATAATTAAATACACCTTTAAACACCATTAAATTACTCGATGGCTATTCCAGAAATAAATAATTTATTTCTATATACTGGAAGAAAATCATTTCTGACTAGCATAAAAATCATAATTTTGAAACAGTAGTAGAAAAATCATTAAAAATACTTATTTTTAAAACTCTAATTCAATAAAAGCAGGTTAACGTGAAATGTCTGAGTAAAAGAGAACTTGTGATCATTATGTATTTACAGTCATTCTTATGTAAATAAATGTTACATGATATCTTAGACCTCTGCTTTTCAAACTCTATCTATTAATCTGGGAATCTGAGTATTTCACTATAATAAATAAATAAGTTTTAATAAATGCATTAAAGATGTCAATATGTTTGTTTTTTGTAACATATACTTTGAAATTTTAATTAAATAATTTTTCATCTTAAATTTTTCATCAATAATCTGTGCATATATTTTACTTATGATGAAGAGAAATTAACATTTAAAAATGAATTATGGGCTGAAAGTATTTTGTAAAAGAAGATATCGGAAAGGAAATTATTGCAATTCATAGAACTTATAAATGATAAAATGTGATCTAATTAGTATCATATTTTCGTTATTGTTAAGAATGGATATTAAATTATGGATAATAGAATGGACTTCTAAATGTGAAGCACATGCGAACAATAATACTAATTCACAACATTCTGATATTGATTTTAATACTTAATGTAAATATAAAGTTTTATTAACAGCTTAGTGGAACTCATATTAAATAGTTACTGTGTGATCTTAAGTCCAATGTATTTATTACAAGATAATGAAATATAGTTTGGATTTTAATTCAAAACTCTTTTCACATATCTTTAGAAGCTCAATTTTAACTGGTACTCTTCTGTTATCGGGACAGGATTCAAAGATGTAATGTATGTAGCCACGAGTGGTTTTGGTTTCATTTTAGTTTAGTATGGCAAAGCACACTAGGGCTATCTGCCTGTGGGAAGGAATGCCTTTGTGGAGGACTTTCTAAAGGAAACTGGCTGGTATACACATTACAAATGGGAAAAAAAAAGAAAACGTCCACGAAGCCAGACAAGTCTCCTGAATTCGAACTCAGTGTTTAAAGATTTTAACACTCTCTGCCATTGATGGGCCTATGGACATGTGTATATACACACATGTACATGAATACATACATACATTTCTCAATCTGGTCCCAAAAATAGAATAGCACCTTTTAACCATACAGTTTAATCTTATAGTGTTTTGATTCATTTTAAGTACTGTCACCAGTAATACATCTTATGAGATACATCAGCAATGCATATTATTATCATTAATTTCTTATTAACAATTCAATTTCAATTGCCACAAGTTGATTCCTGACTCATACATATCTTATGTATATATAAATAAGTTGTTTCAATACAAAGATCAAAGTTACATAGCATATTTACAATAATTATTTATTACTTATACATATAATGCATAAAATCAGGCAGTAAATTGTAAAAAAATACTTTTAATGAATTTGGAAATAAATCAAAATATAATATTTAAATGCACAAACTTCATAGTCAAAAATACATACTAATGTAAGAAAATCAATATTGAATACTTTTTCTCAAAAATGTAAAGATGTAAAGACTATAAACACACATTCACACAATTCACTTGAAGGTATGTTTCCTGGAAATATAATTATACTTATTGGAATCAATTCAGCGTTAAACCTTAGAACAGGTAATGATATCTAATTGTTGGGCATTTTTGATAGTCTTGAAATATCATAACTGGTAACATATCTTACTAAATTCAATTCTTGCTAAATTATGTTCAGCATCATTTAGCATTTGCAGTTTTATAGCTAAATTAGATTTCAGTACATCTATTACACTAAGCACTTACAGTTATTCAGTATTATTTTCTTTACATTTCAGCAAAACAATGAACTTCTTTTCTAAGAATGCATACTCAACAATGAAAATCCCAAATATGATACTATATGGTTTACCAGAACTATAATATGCCAGGTAATAGTGATTTTATTGAATTTGATTTGATTAATTTGAATTGCTTGAATGTGTTTTTTCTGGAAATAAAAGTATACTTATTGGATTCAATTCAGCATTACACCTTAGAACAGGTGTGATTCAGCATTACACCTCCTTGTTAAGAATTTTCGATAGTCTTGAAATATCATAACTGGTAACATATCTTACTAAATTCAATTCTTGCTTTGTTCAGCATCATTTAGCATTTGCAGTTTAGATTTCAGTAGGTCTATTACACTAAGCACTTACAGTTATTCAGTATTATTTTCTTTGCATTTCAGCAAAACAATGAACTTCCTTTCTAAGAATGCATACTGAGCAATGAAAATTCCAAATATGATATATGCTTTACCAGAACCATAACCCTGTCAGTTAATAGTGATTTAATCTTCATAGATAAGCATATACAATAGTCTTGAAATATCAGAGCTGGTAGCATATCTTAAATATATTCACTTCCTATTAAATAACGTGTTCTTCATTTAACTTCAGTAGTTTCACAGCTAAATTATACTTCAATATATTCATTAGAGTGAACCCACTTTTTCATCTTTATACTCTTTATGTTCTAATAATAAAATGAAGTTTATTTCTAAGCATATTGAATCCAGTAAAGAAATCAAATCACAGTTAATAATGCTGTAAATATTCAGATATATATATATATATATATATGAAATGTATTTTAAGGATGTCTTGACACACACTATGTTAATTCATTGCAATGGTAACTGGTGGCATTTTGATTCAAAATATTTACTGCATTAATTACTGGCAGAAATTAGCACTTGCTTTCACTAACTTAACATTAACTTCCCTTGGTTTAATTCACGCATTTTATATATTAGATGATTTAAGTCATTATCACTTAAAAGTTTCTGATTATCAATATGCAGAATAATTTGTAAATCACACTTTACATGCATCTTCCAGCCATCAATAACTTCCATCCGACTAGATCTAATTTTCTATTGGAACAGTAGAGTAATCCTTAATATTCCGAAACAAACATTAAATCGTTATATACATATATAAACCATATATATATAAACACTTTCATTACGAAAATCTAAATGTACATTCAAACAACGCACTGCGTAACTCCGAAGAGCGGAATGTAAACAAACGTCAGAAATGTGACATCACTCATGTGGGCGGAGTTAATGGTGACCCTCATCTGGGCTGTCATTGGCCAAATTCAAGCCGTTGTCCTAGCAGTGTACATTTTGCTTATATGCATCCCGTTCACTTCCATCTTGGCAGATGATCCCGAATGATTTTTTGCACACACTTTCGCGTGAAGACGTTTCCATTCTAAATAGTTTTCTGTTGAACGAAAATCTTTCGCAGTTTTACAACCTTTACAGTGCGCACTAAAAGTATATCTGTCTATAACTTTGTCTGTCTCACTGCCAGTTATAGACGTCACACCGAAACGTGACGAATGGCCCCTAATTTTCAGGTGCCATCGCCACTAACTGTCAAATCCATGGAACCAGTCAACTGGACCTCTTCATCAGCTGCATTTTTCATACTTTTTATATGTAGTACTTTACATACTTTTTATATGTATATGTAGCTGCATGTATATGACTTACAATCTTGTCATAAGATTTTTGTGCGACAGGCGATGGTAAGTCCATAAGTCCACAAAAGGTTTTACACTCTGCTAGTCCTTTGCCAATGCACCTCATGGCCAGAATAAATCGTCTATTTAAGTCAGAAGCATTCTGTTTTTTTCCAACCATCTTAGAGTTTTTTGAAAGAGGAAATTATTCCACAAGAACTGCATGTAACATTGATTTTTATCGTCAGCCCATAATTTATTTCTGAATTTATATGTATTTTATTATGGCATATCGAACAACATAAACATTGTTCTAATGCTGAAAATAACAGTTTTTTATCGATAATAGCATAACCACATTCATGTTATCCACAAATTCAGCTGATGCAGATGAATCGTTACCGATCTTTCTTGCTGATGCAGAAATGTTTAGGTCTATGTCAACACACTCACGCTTTGTATGTTGATTTCCATAATACTGATGCCTCTTCCGTCTTTTTGGTCTTTGACCAGATGCCCTTTTAGCATTAACAGCATTCATTTTGCTTTTAAAAAAGCAGTTTTGTTTTGTGAAAACTGCAATTCAAATTTTCAAAATTGAAAGAAAACGATAATGCGTAATTCTAACACGAGGTAAACAAACTAACGGAAACGAAGATATAAAGATGAGTAGTTACCTTCCTGGCTTCTCAAAAGAGGAGGGAAAATAAAAAATTGTGAGGCAGGCAGCAATCATAAGAAAAACATTCGAAAGGAAAGAAATATCGCAGCTGCAGATATGGAACGTAAACAGTCACGTGGGCCTTGTCCGCCCCTTTAAATGGCAATGGCTGCCCTTTTATCAGATTGTCTCTTGCATAAGGGTTTGCGTAAATGGTCATAACTAGAGAAATAATAGGAATTTTTCAATGCAGATTTTTGCATAGTGCTCAGAAATGTTAATAGAATCGGAATAAATAAAAAAATTGATTTTTTGAATGCTTAAAGATGCTGTGCCCCCTTAAATCAGCATTTTAAAGAAATTTTCAGACCCTGCACTGAATATTTTGAAGAAATTCTTTGAGCTGCTGTTTTCCCTAAATTGAGGAATTCTGCACTACTGCTATTAAAAATAGTGTAAGCGCTAAAAAACGAATAACCTATTATTTTATTTATGACAAACTATTACAGGATACCATATACACCGTTAAATTGTACACTGCTGTATGAAAGAGTGTTATTTAGCATTTGTTTGCAAATCAGCCCAGTAATAACTATATGGCTTTACTAATAGAACACTACTCACTGCATCTTAGATTTGATTCCCGGCGGCATAAATAACTAACCGCGTAAGTGGTTTCCTGGTTTTCCCTAACGTAGCATGAAAACGAACGTTTCCTTTGAAAAATCATCTATAAAAAAATATCCTCGAAAGCCTTTCTCATAAATAATTAACCTGGAACGGAAATAATTCTATTTAATCGAACGATTTCTTGTGAACTCTTTTAAGTACTGTAGTCAGAGTAATAACACACTTTCAATATAATACAGTCTAAGAAATGTTTGGCATAAATCATATGCATGCTAACTGAGTATTTTAATGAATGTAGTCAATATAATATATTGAAAATTTATTTATTAAAGCTGTTACGAGAAGAGAATGAAAATGTTGAGAAATGTGTTTTCATGTGCTTTATAGAGCACTGAAAAAGTAAGATTCCTTTGTATGTAAAATTTGACATGAATAACCTATAATTTAAAGATTTTGAATAGTTGAAAAATTTTGATATGCTTTCAAACTAGGGGAATACAGGTAATTAATTCTCTGTAAATTCCTATTACGTTAGTGCAAATGAAGTATTTATTATTAAATACCATATCAGAGCATTGCGCTTTTTTGAATATCTGGGCATTGAGTTGTATGTGTATGTACGAATAAACAAGATTCTGGTCAGTAGTATGCATCTATGTTTGCGCAAAGCCTGGGGCATCAGTGACTACAGTACGACTTCATGTCCCACTCAATACTATATTTGACCGAGAAAACTCCGAGGAATAAATCTGAGGATCTCGAACATTCTTTTCCCATTTTCGTATTTTTCCCTCTAGAGAAGATTTCCAGCAATTTACGAGAATATCAGTTATCGGTGTTTTTTTAGTGCAATATCAAACATCGATTAGGGTTTCGAACTTAAGTCCAGCGACTTGGCAGTCCGCTTTGCAAATCATAAATTTCCAAAATGATATATAAAAAAGTCGTATGAAATATCGGAGCCATAGGGAAGTTCGCCTGTGTTCATTAAATTATGTTATTAAACTAATAAATTTGTATATAAAGTATTTTTATTGATGGTGAATTAAATGTCGCTAAGCTTTTGAAGTCTGTCTGCTGCTTACATATATACAGGGTATCAAGACCGCATAAACTCTAGGAGGCGAAATTCCTCGTTTGGGGTACATAAAAAATTACGCAAGTGTTATAACTTCAGGATTCATAGTTTTTGAGAAAAATGCCAATGAAATTATATCACGTCACATTTGGTATTAGAAAAATAAGTTTTATTGGAAACACGAGTTTTGGCACACTGCATATAAAATTAGAATTACAAAAGAAGCTAAAGGTGACCAGCGTGCATATCGAGGCATGTTTGTTCATGCCGTCGAATGGTTGACTAAATACCATCCAGCTGTTGGTATCCACAAAAGTGAAGGCAACACGAAGACTAGCAGTTGAGCCTCTTTCTATAGTAAATGGGATTCGATACACCAATTCCTTCAGATCGCCCCATAAAAAGAAATCCAAAAATGTGTCTAGTGATCATGAGGGAGACACAACCAGGACCTCTAGCTTAAACTAGTATATTAATTCGAGTATATTAATTTAAACGAATATAGCTAATCCAGTCAATCACTTTAGGAAAGCTGAATCACGTATAGAAGAGCCTGGGTTTCATCATGCTAGATCCATTAGCTACAAAATACCGAATAGGTCAAATAGTTATTCTTTGAGCTTATAAGTTGTTTCGAATGAGCTTTGAGAAGCTGAAAACAAATAGGGGATATTGTGATTTCGGTATGAAACAAACGTATAATCGTCTATTTTAACAGAAGAAAAGAGTTTTAAAAGGAAAATTATTATATCGACAAATATTGGAACGTCTTTGGGACACTCCTAGGAGAATGGATGCTGCTCACTAATCACCCCCAGAAATTGTTCAGCAGCTGGAAACCATTCTTCTCCAGGAGTTGGAGAGTATATCCTTGATAACCTCATTGAGCCCATGCCTCAAGAATAGTGCAATCATACGACTTTGACAAAAACTCGTTTTTATATGAGAAATCACGCTTTTTAGGACAGTTACAGAATGCGTATCTTTTATTTTCCAAAAAAAAATGAAAATAAAATTTAATTATTCCGTGTTCGGGCGTAATT